TTTTAAATACCACACATGGGTTACCAAGGATGCAAGTTTGATGTAGCCCATTTGATATCTTCGTATGCAAGAATCAACAATCTGTCTGGCTTGCAGTTTCAATAGTGGCGCTCATCATGAAGATGACGACTTGGAATTGCCACTCGAATGGCTTGGCTTATGCTCCATCCAGCATTAGCATCACCATCAAGAATGTTATGATAGTTGCCTTTCTCCAAGTAATTTGGATGTTCCATCAACCAAAACTTTTCGAGTTGCGCTATCTCTACTCTCTTCTTGTGTCCATCTTCGACTTTTGAGAAAGAACTAGAATACAGTCACCCAGACTGTCTTCGACTTTTGAGGAAGAACAAGATTAGAATAAACCACGTCAGCCACAAATTGGGCACTGCCTCGTTAAACCATTGAATTAGGCGGGAATACATATGCAAAACCATACCGAGCGATCCCTTAATGGAGTCACAGCCAAGCGTATACGCTCACTGCCTTCTTAAATAATAAATAATCACATCAATATGGGTCACCTCATCGCCCAAAGAGGCATGGCGCTTAGAAAATTTGAGCACTTGACAAAGTTGATTATAGAGATCCCAAAACCAACACTAATATAAGGACTATTAAGAGTGAAATATCGGCCAATCAAAACTAGTGGTGCAAGGAAAAAGGGAACACGCATGAAAGGGAATACTAAATACCATATTTATATACCGCAGCCATTTTTTGGAGGGCATTTCAATAAACCTCTATTTCGGTACAAAGAGGAGTTTACTATGGTCAGTGCATTGAGATTTGTGGAACTAATCATGCCTTCAGGCGTGCGCCTGGAAACATAGGCCAACTGCTGAGTTCAGCACATAAAATATAAACTAAATGGCAAAAGTATCCTCATTAGAGATTTCTTCAAGCCATATGTGATCCAAACAAGCAAGCATCATAAGATTCCCTTGACAAACACAAATATAACAAACTAATACTATGACGCAATCCTAAATCCTTACGGCACACCGTCCCTAGTAAATATACGAGAAAGAAAAAAACGTCCAAATGTCTCACCAGCATCCTCTTCACCCTGTGTCTAAAGAGGCATTCCAGCACAGGCAGCTTGTCGTGCATACCTTAACTGGCAGCTAAAAAAAAAAATTGCAAGTCATTGTCAACTTCATCTTCCATATCTCTTGATTTTTTCTCGAACATTTTTAATTTTATTGTAGCTAAAGATGGACAGCAGGCATCAGTAGTCGGAACCCATAGTTGAGGATTGTTCTTCGGAGCTGATGGCATCAGGAACCAGCTTGCCAGGTTTCACTTCAGGGAGGCGAGGTTTTTTCTTGGGTGAAAGCTTCTTCGCTTCCTCGGTCGTATAGATGTAAATCTTCCTCACCATGGTGCAGAATTCGCTGGATACATTACCAATACATGTAAATAAACATGTTGAAGAGTAAATTCAAATAAATAAATGTACCCCTTCTTTCAAAAGCTTAAGCTTTTAAGCTCTTGTTTATCTCCCATTCTTTCAAAATTCTTTTTTCTAAGTACTCATTTTCAACCACACATTCACATGATAAAATATTATACATATAAATCCAAAACTTTTCCTACTTTTTAACCACACATTCTCCAAAAATTCACTATTCAAAATTATGTTTTCCCAAAAAAAAGGCCACCAAATAAGGGGATAAATAAAGTGATTCAACACAATATTAGAAGGTAGATGTCTTAAAGTCCAAGTGTTGCTGCCACCAATTAATGAAATTGTCACGTCACGCATTTGATTAAAAAAAATGAAACCAATTGGTACATGAGGGGAGGCATCGAAGACTAAAAAAAAACAATTTAAAAAAAAAAGAATAAACGTGTCTCTGTCTCCTACTTGAAACTTAAACTTTTGGATGAGGTTGTTCGATAAAAAAATAATATTAGCACAGCAGAGAAGCATAAACAGTGTATTTTAATTGCGAAACATAGTGCTTGTTTGGTAGGGATTTTTGGGGGAAGAATTGATTTTTGAATAATGATAAGATGGAAAATGTGTGGTTGAAAAAGAAGAAAAAATTATTGATGTGATGAAAAATATTATTTTATTGAAGAATGTGTGGTTCAAAATGAGAATCAATTTGAGAATCAATTCTCAAATCAAAAAAAAACACCCCCATAATATGACACTTTAAATAGCTATAATTAGTTGTATTCATTTATTGCGTAGTTGATCTCATTAGCATATTATAGGAGAGATGTTAGGGCATAATGGTGTATTCCTTTGTCCTATAGTTGACCTAATTAGCATAACTGTAGGGAGACGTTAGGGCATAATTAGAGAAGAAATGTTAGGAAATTGATAGGTTTTCTTTCCTACATATTTGGTATAGTATCTTCCAGAATTCATCATCGAAAATATGAAATTTCACAAAAATTCACACTATATATCATCCCCAATGATTTTAAGGCACTGTAATCACTACTCCACTATTTACTTTGAATATATACAAGTATGCAAGTCCAGGCACCCTACACCTAAAGTTGGAAGAAATAAAAAGGCAGTAACGTAGCAACATTTACAGGAAGGGAAGAAAAAGGGAGCATTGACTTAACTGCCATGGATCATCTCCAACCATCATCATGTCATCCTCGTCATCTGTGTAGACAACTTTCCATTTCTTTCTCGACCCACGGAGTTCCCCTTCAATCTCAAACATTGTTTCCAATTTCTTGAGTAGATCATCATAGCCATCAAACTTGGTTAGATCAACTGCCCTCCCAACCGCAATGTCTTGCATATGAACCTAAAGAAATTAACACAAGTCAATATTTCGGTAAAAAGAACTTCAGATGAAAATGCTTCCCCTGTCCCGGAAACAGAAATTGCAAATAAGCTGTTGTATAAATCCCAGCATTCGAACCAGTAACAATTCAAAGATACGGCATAAATAAAAAACAATATATATAACATCCAATATAAGCTCAATGTAACACTTAATCCTCACAGCATAAAAAACAATGGATGCTGACAATAAGGAAATAAAAACTAGTGCACCGTCGTCGAAACAATACAATGTTATCTGACAGAATTATGAATGTCTATACAAGCGAACACACGAGCACAATTGACAAGTAAATGCATTAGAAAGTCCAGTACTTTATAGTAAGTAGGAATATCTCATAAAGGTCACTAAATTTTGATTAACAAAAACTAGCTCATAGATCGTTGGAACCTCTTAACTTTGTGCATCCAACAAAGCAGTATGAACTAAGGTCAAAGTACCTTGGTGCAGCTTCGAATTTGCCTGCTTTGTGGTTCGTGGGGAGATCTTAGGCATGATTTTTCAGGCTCAAAACTTACTGAAGGAACATCAGATGGATTATGGTGTGATGGCTCAGAAAGTTTTTCAGAATCAGCGCCTAGGAGTGGAATTTGAGAATCCTTGTCCACAACTCCAGGCACGACTGCTGGTGCAGTGTCTTCAACAATTGAACTGTCAAGCAACTCAATCCCAAAAAGCCTGCAGCCATTAGCCTGTCTCTTTTCACTAACTGGTGTAAATGATTCTTCAGCAGTTTCTACTTGATTAGTCTGATACATAGAATTGCTAGAAACTGGATGCATGATCTCATTGTAACTCAGATTGCTGACTCTTGTACCAGAACTAAATCTAGGTGATTGATGGACGTCTTGTCCACGCGATGGATCACAATAGGAGAATGCTGAAGTGGAGTCAACTGGCGATTTCCACATACCTATGAGAATCAATGAATTTTTCACAGAAAACTATGCCACCAGTATACTTGATAATTATTAGCCAAGAAAGTTATACCAAGTGAAGAAAGATCTTGCGCTGAAGAAGGCAAAATGTGGGGTCGTGCCCGTTTACTCCTTTGTGGAGGCTGGGAGTTTGGTGGAGTTGTTGCAACAAGTGGTTCTATCTCCCATGGTGAAACTCTATCTGGACGCAAAATTGAGGCAGGTTCATCCCATTGAACCTGCATGGGCACCACGAATCAATGTGTGAGTTTGTGATGATGATTTTTTATCCAAAAGCTCTCACAACAGTTTCTTTTTAACTTTTATATTTCAAGATTCCTTTCCACAATACATGCAAATAGAGCATCTTAATCTTCTTTGCAGAAAATGCTATGAAAAATGTGTAGAGCACATGGGTCACTACTTCAATGGAACATGGGATTTCCAAGACCCAAAACTTGTATATGTGCTAAAAGTTAGTTAATCAATATAGTCACCTTCAAAGATCTCCATTCTGAATCAGGCCACCTAGATGAAACATTATCCTCAAAGCCAACAATTGTCCCACTGAACCTGTATGAAGATGTAAATTAAACATACAAAAAATTTATTTCTAAAATCCTTTCAAAGAAAAGCATGTTCACCAAATCATCAGCAATAAAAATACCTTCTTTCTGGAACCTCTTCACCCTCAAATCTCATCTTAAATCTCATCCCAACTGAGAGCTTGTGATTTCGAGCTTCAAGATACTTGTTTACACTTACAATGAATTCAGATCGACTTGTCCTGGTAATAAAAGGTAGCGATTTGATGAAGTAAATTCCTTTAAACAGTCAATATAAATATATAAAATTAAAAGGATATACCAGACAGCTATGAAATGGTTTAGACTACAAGTCAATTAATACCACCACCACAAATAATGGGCAACCTACCGAATTTTTTTTGTTCAATGACAATAAAGGAAAAACTGGTTTGACCAACAGGAGTCACTGATTTCATCAAATCAGAATGCATTTACAGGTTTAAGAGCGAAATCACGATTAACACTATGACATACAAATATTTCAAAGCAGAATATTGCATTTTTTCATCTAAAAGATCGTGACAAGGAATTGGAAGAGGAGATAACCTTGGTTTATAGTAAACTGAAAAGAAGGTCCCAGTAGAGATAGCATGTGATGCAGTAGCAAGAACCCCTAGATGCATGCTGTCACTTGATATAACAGAAGACGGCATATTATTTAGTTGTCTCATAAGCCTGCGCACTCCAACTCGAAGCTCCCCATTTTCTCCTCTGTTCAAAGAAAGGTAAAAGAATGTATTACTTCGAAAAATCACATACAAGTACAATGATACAGATGAACCACACAAATGAAATAGAAAAAAAGAGGGGGGCAAAAAGCCAAGCCCATATTCCCCTGACATTAGGGAAGACGAGACTGCAATCTTTAAAAAATTATGAAAGAAGTCATCATCATGACCATACCTTAAGAAAATAAAAGCATCTCCTGCAACTAACTTTTTGGCACTAACAAAGACACTCCATCCAGTTGTCAGTAAGTGGCGCCTTGGTTGACCTACAATTGTGTCAATATGCATTAAAATGATATAGAATTCATTATAAGACAAAAACAATCTCATATAAACTAGAAAGACAATAGAAGAAACGGATATGACATATATGGTACAAGCGCAAAATTAAACAGAGCAGTAGTATTTCAAGGGTAGGCAAGCAGACGAAATTTTTTGAGAAGTCATTAGCAATTTCGAAATCATTTTCATAGGAAGAGGGGTAAATGGCACAAAAACCATGTTAGCCGAACAACAAAAGTGTAAGAAAAGAAAGATGGTATCCTAAGTGTCCTAATAAAGCCAGACTAACTTTCCATTTAGTGACTAGGATCCAAGAATAAGGAATTTTAAGTTCGTACTGTCCCACAAAAAATTTCAACCAGAATGGAGGTCAGCTTGTGGTAGTATATATGACCTCCTTGAATAGAGAGCCAGATGTAAGAAAGCAAACCTTAAGTCAGAGTACACAACGATAGTTGTTCTCCTAATGAAATATACTCGCTCCAAGAATCATAGACATAGGTTCATTCACTCAACAAGAGGGCATGGGAGAGCATGATTTTGGATTTATGAGAAATCTCTACATTAACAGTGCACATGCTAGATGATGCACTAGCAGATTCAACAGACAAAGAACTAAGTGCGTGGATGTTTTAACATGAAGAGAAGGAACACAATTAGAATGGTAAACTCGAAAATATGGTATCACAGGCAAATGCACTCATGCATCAATGACAAGCCTGTCCCCAAAGACTTTTCCCCTTCACGGTTAGGGACCGTGCAACTTGATTACTAAACTTGTCCATCAGTTCTGCACAAGTCAGATTCTAACCTCTGAAAATGTGACGGAAATGCCATTCATGGCCATGAAGATCCGTGGCGACCAATTCCTGCCATGGTGGCTGCTGAGACATATCCTGAATATGAAATAAAATGTCAAATCTAGCTAGGAGAAGAATAGGAAATAGAAGGTAGCAGAAGACAGATGCATTGGATTCTATAGTTCACTAGAGTCTTACCAATGGAGGTAAACAATCATCTGCATGCCTCCGTAAAACAGAGAACCCACCATGGGTGCTTGTATCAGAAGCAGTGAGAGTCTTACAGAATGAGTGGATAGTGCTTTGCTGAGGTTCTGGTAGAGGGGGATCTGGGCTTGTAATCTCAGTTTGCTGATTCCCAAAAATTGTAAAAAAGCAAGAGAGAGAGAGAGAACAATTTAAGCAGAAATAGGCGAGGAAGGAAACAGAAGTACCAGATCAAAAATTACAAGATAACAGACCTTGCATAAAACCTAAAACTTACAGAAGTTAGTTGAAAAAAAAAATATAGTTATTAAGTATAAAGGACTTCACCTGTTCAGGTAGCAGAGTTATCTGTGCGTATACCTCGTCTGTTTCTGGTTCAGCCTACATTCCAAATGGACAGCAACATATAAATCAATGCAGAAGAAATAAACTGAAATTCCTGGTGTAGGAAGACAAATTCCTCTTGAAAAGGGAAGATCTCATGGATCCTTACCCGAAGATGAACATTTATCACTTTGCAAAGAATTTTAGCTGGTAAATCAAACGAAGGAAGCTGCTGGTCTAATCCTTGTTGTGTTGATGCTTCAAGCTACACAACAATCAGCAAATTCGTACATTTGGAACATCAGTAATGCAATAGAAATTTTATTAAACAAAGGATTTCACGGTTTGAAACTTCCTTCATGTGTGGGCCGTGCAAAAGAAAGATATCCGCACCAAGACCAGAAAAAAAAAAGGAAATGAAGAAAATATACCCACGGAGGATGAGAAAGTGTCATACAAATGTAACGACGTAGAAAAACAACGAGGTAAACAAGCTGTAAACAAGAGGAAGAATACATAGTCCACTTAACAATGAAGCATACACATTCAAAATCAAATATGCAGCCATTGACACGTGAAACAAATCAAAAGCCAAAGGAACTTAGAGTGTGTTTGGGACACATTCTTTTGAAAGAATATATTATTGAATAGTAGATTGATGGAGAATGTGTGGTTAAAAATGAAGGAAAAGTTATTGATGTGATGGAAAATATTATTTTATTGAAGAATGTGTGGTTGAAAATGTGTAGAAGAATGAGAA